GGATCTGAAAATCGTAAAAAGTGCCTTACGTAATTTGTAGACGGCCCCAAAGAGTAATTTTGACATTTCTTATTAGTATTTTCTGTATTCCTTATGATCGCTTTACTTAGAATTCTTCATCCTATCAATAAAAGAAGAGTAATAATTGTGCTGACTTTCCTTTTAAATAAAAGGAGCGTTTCAGTTTAAAGGATTCCGTCTAGGCCCGCAGGATTTTTTGTCAGCCCTACCTTCAGAGCACAGGACTTAATCTCTGCCTGAAGGCAAGGGCTGACAGAAAATCCTTCTCAGGGTGTGCGAAATGGGGAGAGTCTGGGTACAGAAAGGGAACATCGATGCTCCAGACTGCGCACCAGACAGTTTCCGGTGGAAATTCGGCAGGATTTTTCGTCAGCCCTACCTTCGGAGCTCAGCACTGAATCTCTGCTAAACAATCGATTTGTTCCAGAGAAGAATGTAAACAGGGGGTAAAATATTTTTTGACTCTAATTTTAATTTTTAGAACTTCTTGGCTTTGATTTCCCTGCGAAATGGTGTGGGCCCAGCATCATTCCTCCACCTAGTTACAAAGGGGTAACATAATCTCACTTTCCGGACTTGCTTCAGTTCATTGAATATAATATATTAGTCCAATGTGATATTGAGGATTCAGCAGGCAGAAACGTACATTGGAGGATATAAAGAGCTTATAATTGCAAGAAAAAACTGCAGAAACAGTCTGCAACTACCCAGAATTAGCGTTTGAAAATTGATTTTCAGTTCCTTGTGGGAAAAGCCCATTTATATCGAACTGAACAAATCCCAATTAAGGCACCAAGCCTTAAATTGCAATATATCTTGAAATGTGGTGTGACACTGAAACAGTCAATTAGTGTGCCCCAGAATTTGATATCTAATATTAATTCATGCCATAGAGGGTTCATATACGTCATCTTACATTGGCATCTTTCAGAAATATCTCCACTGGCAGTGGTTCGATGGGCCGACTTGTTTGTCTTGGTTTCTTAAATAATGTCCCATGGTAGTTCTTATCCTCAGTTCATTTTTGTGGAATTCAGATTTTTCTTTTTGGCTCCACAGGTCTACTTCTTTACTTGCAGCTCTCAGCCTCAGATCCAAAATTCATGTGTTTGAACAAAATCAGTTCATGCATATGGTGCGTAATCTACAAATTCACCGTATCAATCAGAATAGGTGAATAGGTGTATTATTTACAAAACGACTGACCCGCTGAAGACAACATATTAAAAAGACAAGTACTTACAACCAGTAAAACATTAAAATACCACAAATTTCTTCTACATTGATGATACAGAAAATAATATTGTCAATCTTACAGAATATAGTAGGAAGTTCGGTACTGCGTCTGAAGAACTGAACTGGTCAAATGAAGCAATGATCTGCGAAATGCTGGTAAAGCCATTTTAAGTAAAGTAGGAAGATTTCTTAGCAGGATTACACGATTTCTGATAGGCAAAATAAGCAAAAGAAATTCTCAGTAATTTGTGATTATAGACTTTCAGGCGTCTGTTTAATGAAAGAAACGGTGAAGGTACTTCATGCCGTAAGCGCGTCTGACAGTCCCTTGGAAAGGCACTGATAATTATTCAGTATTTTCGGTGAAATACAATAACAGGAAACTGTTTTTCAAATGATGAATTAAATGGAAATTTAACGATGAAAAGTGAAAACCGCGAATATCTAATTACTTTTCCGAAGCTCGAGTATCTTTACAAGCCTAACCTCTAAAGTTTCTTGTTCCTTGTTGGCGTTTGAGTTTAGCAGAGATTCCTTCTTGGCTTAGAAGGTTAGGGACAAAGACATAAAGACGGAGTGCTCGTATCTAAAAGCACGGGGAAAAAGTGAAGCTAGGTTCGGCGCTGCGCGTTTGTGTGAGTGTGTAAATGAGCGCGGGAATCCATGGCGGCAAACGGAAATTTGATTTGAACTTGTCCTCTTGATTTTTCCTTATTTCTTCTTCGAAACGTGTTTTAAATGCTTAAAACGATTATATTAAGAAAGTTNAACAGTCGACTCGTTTCTTGTTCCCTCCATAGAGTACATTAGAGGGTTTTTGCTTCCTGCTGAGATGCGGCAAACGACAAGCAACGTAGTGTCGGTGTCACCTCTCAACTATCTCAACGTCAACACCGCGCTTTTGAAACTATTTCCTCTTATACTAGAGTCCCTTTATACTGAGAGTCAAGACAATTTGAATCCATTTCTGATTGGTTCCCGTATTTTAGGCCTCCACAGTGTCACAAACGGGAATAAAGATTACATTTTCAAGAGTGGCGGTAGCCACCCCCGGTCGAGGAAAATGACGTCCTACTAAAGTCCCGATAACAAACGGGTGGCCGACACTCTTAGTCACAGGCAACTCCCTTAACTTGAAAATTGATTCGGTTGGAACTCGACTGCAGCCCAAACGACGGCTCGGATTCCTACGATCTTGGTGTCTACGGACGCATCTCAATTAGGACTACAAAGTGGAAGAGTTTCAATAAGATCCGTTGAGTTTTCAAAAAGTTATAAGCACTTAATGACCCAAAACAAGGAAAATTTTACTTTTTACTTTGCCGGGAAATTTGAATTTCAAGAATCCAGGGTCCTGAGAAAGTCACTCAAACTCCGCGATAACGGTTAACCTTAGACCCATAAAAGTGGGTACCTAAAAAAATCGTCATGTTACCGTGTCCATGGGTTTTTACAGTTTTGTAACATTCCTAGTGAACCAAAAGAGAAATTACGGAAAATACGACTAAACTGCCCGTCATGACCATCTTTAACAACAGATTTCTCGCTTACCCGGCCGCAGACTGTAATGGAGCCTATATAAAGGGCACTCCGTGAAGATGTGAGGATTTCATTTTGCCACATAAAAAAGCGGGTTATCTCACGGATAATCCAGCATCCGCTTACATCCTTCAAAATTTTAGCTATAATTTTTGAATTTAGAAAAAAACCAGTAATATAATGGGGGTTTTACCGACTGGCGGAAAGGAGGAATCCATCGTTGGAATTCGGCGGATGACCCCGAAACCGCACCAATTCGGTGCTCATTCACGTTGACCGGTGCGCACAACGTAAACAAATCGGCCGCCATTTTGAAAATCATTCCTGTTCCTCCGTTTAGGGCAGCTACTTCCCCAAACGGAGTATTTTCCAAAAATTTTATAAAAGTTCCGGAGTATTTTCCAGTTTCCAGGTTCCCTCTTTACGACGTCTTCTCAGTGTAATGAGAGATTTCTATGAGTGAGAGTGAGTACGTGACGTGATTTTTATTTTTTGTTGTTCTTTTTCTATGAGCAAGATACCCCCTCCCCCTCCTATCGGCAGTAATTTCTGTCACAGATAAGATGTAAGTAACAAATTTTAAATCGTTATTTTACTATTTTCAGTCACAAAAACCTTATTTTAACTATCACTGCTGCATTAAAAATACTCACCTGTACACAGAGAAAAATTTATCGGCACCAGTTATTCCATTTATCTAACTCCATTTTCAATTACAGCTCATGATAATCAATGAAAGCAATGTACCTAATAAGATGAATAATTCCATTCGGAGCAAATTTAAGAGTTCTTAGTGACCAAAAGAACATTTTGACAAATTCTACCTAAAATAAGTTTTTATAGCTACAGGGCGCGCATGACATAATAATTTGATGATATTTTAATACGTGGGTAAAAAATTAATTATTGCCAGCAAAAGGATGAAGCGTCATAGCTCTGTGCCCCGCTTTTCATAATTAATGCAAACAGGGATTATTCATCAGCAACACAAGTAATTGGTTTAAAAAGAAGTGAAAGAAAAGTCAGTTTAAAAGAGAAAAATATCAAGAGGGTTGAACGTAGAACCAAAATTGAAGGGCTATCTTACACTTGA